GAGTGCTGGGCGGAGCGGGGAGAGGGAACGCTGATTTGAGGTTCATGCTGGTGTTACTTTTAATTACATACTGTAGCTTTAATTTTAAGATTTTTAACGAGCACTTCATAATGAAACTCCAGACCTATTTCACATCCATACGTGCACAGAGGTTTGAAGGATTATTTACAAAGTTCAGAGGTCACTTGATTTGCACGACTGAGGTGAACATGACATTACAGAGGTAACATTAACCTAAAATAATCAACTTAACCTAAACATGATCATGAGTATCAAAATCATATTTTGGCATTTTAAGCCTTTTCAAGGAGCCACAGCTGAGGTGAGTTAATTTCCAGGACCTGGTGGTGAGATACAGGCCAGAGCAAACTAACTCACACTGTGTGTTACACTGTGAGCCCTGTTAAGTTTTCACACATCATGGATTCGGTTTAACCCAAAACTGATATTAAAAGGTGAAACTCATTTTACTTCATTTGAAGCATCAGTTAAAAAAAGCTTCTTGGCTCTCAGGCTTCATTTCTACAGTAGTTTTCCAGAGCTAAAACGACATCAGGTGCCAAACTAACGCTGTTGTGTGTGTGTGTGTGTGTGTGTGTTTTACCGTCCAGTTCTCGCTCTATCAGGTCCATCCTGGCACTGATCTGGTGGTGAAGAGACTCGACGTGCTCCAGCAGGTTCAGCTGACACTCGGCCACAGACGCCGGACGAGGCTCCGCTGTGTGTGTGTGTTCTTCACTGTCTGCATGAGTGTGCTTCTCTGTTTTCATGCTGGTGTCACCGTGTGTGTGTGTGTATGTCACAGTGTTTCTGCCGTCGCCTGTCACAGTGTCAGTCTCTTGCTTCATTTCCTACAGAAACACACAATCACATTTCCTGTGTCAGAGTAGGAAGAAGGGAGAAACCACTAAATGTGCAGGTCGCGGTGTTAGTGTGTTACCACAGTTTCCTCTGTGAAGCTCACACACAGAGCAGCAGGAGGTAAAAATAGTCTCACAGTACCAGAATAAACCAGAGCCTCAAACTGGTTTTTAGTGGTTTCATAGCAACAGCAGGTTTAGTGCTGTGAGTATGAGGCGCTGCTTCTACTGAAGGTCTCTGCGCCCCTCTGAGCCAAACTCTGCCTTTCATACCACATAATGAGTTCACACATCCCCCTCCTCCTGTTCGACGTGGTCACCTTGACAAAAACCTTACTCAGAAACACTAAGAGGAGTAAAAACACATCAGTACGTGAAGGTCACTGTTTCCAACAACTTGCAAAGAGTTTGCCCAGTGTTTGATTGGTTGTTGTTGTGTGACTATAATCAATAGCTATGTTTCAATTCAGGGGCTGCGTCATCTACAAAGGCCGTCCCTACAAAGGCCATGCCTCCATAGCTGTTGTAGACCATGCTATGAGTCGAATCAAAATGACTCTTGAAGTGGTTCATTTGAAGGGGCCTTCAAAATGGGACGGCCTTGTTGGAACACTGTGACGCAAACAGTCTTCAAATGCAGTCTTTGAAGGATGCATCCCCTGAATTGAGGCACAGCGAGTCTGTGCTTGCATGCTGCAAGGTAGAAGATCAATCTTTAATGGGTGTGTTTGTAAAAGACAAGACTTGAGATGTTTGTGTGTTATTAGCTTCAGCACACTGCATTTGCTTGTCTGTACTTGTGACCCAGGAGAAGATGAGGTCACATTTTATGACCAATTAATGTAGAAAACCACAGGATTTACATGTTCTTGCCACTGTGCTTGAGAACGTTTTGCATTCATAATGTTCTCCTGGCACTGGCACTATCTGTGCAGGTAACACTGGCATCAGCGTTTCATCCCAATGTGTGAAGAGTTAAGAGATGAAGGTTAATGGTAAGTGTAATGCAACATAGCTCAGACATGGCCCTGACCTCCTGCTTCACTGCAGCTTGCTGTTCCTGTTCTCGCTCCTCTGCTTCCCATGATGCTCCAGGCTTCTGATAGCAATGCTCGCTGCTGACATAACACACGGCAGTCTCTTCTCTCGGGCTGGAAGTCAGTCTCAGCCCCTCTTCTCGTCTCCATGGCAACCGCCACAGCTGCAGGTCTGGATGTGATGGAGCGCTGTGGGCAGACGGACAAACACACTGAACATACCTGTGTGTAAAATAAATGGAGCTGCTGATGTAGCTGTACTCACTGTAACAGGCTGATTTTGAGCTGCAGCCCTCTGAGGATCTGACTGAGGCCGTATGTGTGCGCCAGCAGGTGGCTGGTGTTTGAGATCTTGGTGTAGTTGATCTCTGAATAGTTCTCCTTCACACACGACAGGCCAAACATGTGACCAGATATCAGCAAATCAGGCTCTGAAAGGAAACGCTGGGCCCGCCTCCAACCTGAGCAGGAGGGGTAAGAGTAAATCAGGAGGATGCACACACAGACACACACAGTGCAGACACAGCCAGTCCTGAAACATACAAAGACTCAAAGAACAGCACAATCACCATTTCTAAGATAGTCAAGTGTGAGGAGCTAAGGTGCAGAGCTGTGTCAACAGGAGTCATCGGTAGATATCAAATATCAGAAGCGACTTCATTTAGTTTGTTTTTTATAACATACGACATTCACATAACCAGCAGTTTGTTCTTATCACTATAACTACTGTGTGTGCAGGTGGGCGACAGCTGAGAGGAGACTCCTGACTGGAGACACAACCAGCAGGGTCACTGATCAATCAGCTGATCATTGTCCTGATGATCTGATTGATCCGTTTGTCCCCAGAATGTCAGACACTGGGATAAAGTCCCACTGTGACTCTCCAGAGCCAAAGGTGGCGTCTCCACACGTCTCGTTGTGTCCAACCAACAGATCCACAGAGACTCAGCTGATTCTCATGTCTGACAAAGAAAAGCATCAGCTCCTCACATTAAAGAAGGTGGAACCAGAACATGTCGGTGACTGTTGCTTCTAAATAGCTGAGGTTCATTTTCTACCAGTGAACTGACTCATGGCTGCAGCTCTAGGTCACTGAATGGCTTCATGAGGACGACACAGTGGGTCGGACACAGTGGGGGGGGATCTGGTTTGGAAGGAGGAGGCTTCCTCCTCCGACAGGGGAGACCTGACGCTACTTACATCCTGTCATACATCTGCTCTGTGACAGTGCACAGAACAGCAGAAAAGACAGCTGCAGATAGCTCGAACCATGTGTAATATGCCAAGTATCAGTATCAATGTAGTGTAGGATCAATCATGTCGGTTTACACGAGTATATCAGGAAAAATACATAAATACAATAAAGTGATGTGCATCTGCATTTTGTGCTTGATGTGCGCTATGAATGTTATGTTATGTTATGTTATGTTAGTGGATATTTATCAAAGTTACAGTCTGAAGCAGAAGATCCTGAGCAGTACCTGCACTGTGTCTGCAGTAATAGCAGATGTAGCTGTGTGGGATGTTGTCTTCATATAAACCCATACAGGTGCCGTGCTGCCAACACAGACACGACTCGCACTGCAGAGAGACACAAAGAATTAAATCACTATGACAGATCCATCAGTGTAATGTCAGTTCGGGATCCCTTCACAGCTACAGTGATCGGTAACCCATTCAATGTGCATTTGGTCATGTGAGCACAGTTTTAACACAGAAACTGAACGGGACAGCAGCAGTTATATGAATGCTGTTCTGTAGTTCTATACAGTGTGTGTCACCTGGATCATGAAGTCGTTCTCCTCGTCCACCTCGCACACACACCTCACCACCTCGAACTCCTCTGTCTCCATAGCAACAGGCCAAGAGGACGAGTCCTCGCCACTCTCTGCTGTCAGCGTCGACCAATCGCTGCCGTCATCGACTGAAAAGGTAGCGACAGCATGGTCAGAGCCGAGCCATCTCCAGGTGAACCAAACTTGGTCAAGACATTCACTGGTGCCTGTAAGAATAAATATCTAAACGCACAAATAAACAACAGAATACAAACTCTAAGAGCTACACCCTGTCTCTGTCAAACAGACAGAAGGAATCGAACCTGGAGCGTCATGAAGATGACGGCAGTGATGTGCGGGAAAGCCGGACTAAAACTCCAGGTCTTGGAGAGGGTCTGTTCAAAGAACTTCATACCATATTTTTGGCTCCAAAACTGGAGTTTATTTCTTTTGCAAGAGAAGCTGACTGCTCCTTTTTTACCTTAACCTGGGCAAAATCCCAGACAAATTCACCGAGAAGTGGCAGAAAATGGACACAAATGTCTGCATTTCCACATAAGTAACAGTAATTCTGCACGTGTGAGCTTCCACCTTGTGAGTGTGTGTTGTGGTGCCCGGCAGACAGCTTCAGAGTGATTGGAGGTCTGTCTGAGCTCTCATCATCACTGCTGCAGAGTCCTGAGGACAAGAAAGAAATGATGCCCTAATTACTCACACTAACACAGTCAGTATTCCAAAACTCATAACACTACTGCTAACACACTAGAGATTTTCCAGCAGTGAAACAAAGAGACAAGAATCTTTATTTCCATTATGCATAGCACAACGAGATCTTGGGATTTTGAGAACCAAAACCTCATCATTCTAATAAAAATCACGATAAAACAAAAGATCTATGTTTTTAGTCCCGTCCTTGTAATTCACAGCCAGTGTAGATAATTTAAAGAAGCTTGGACAGACTGTTTCCTGTTCCAGCGGTGATCGTATTCACTTCCTGTTTGTTGTGCTTGCTACCACGGTGTTTACTAGTGATGGGTCCGGCGACACCGATGCGTCAAGCTCGTAGAGCAAAACCCCGTGTCGGTGCGCGTATCGCTTTAAGAAAGTCACGTGACCGATACAGGAACTGTTTCGAACTGACACTGCCGCGCCAAACTGTGTTTATAAGGAAGCGCATATGTCAACGAGATGCATCTGCCAAAACGAATCTCTGCCACAGCTGATGCCATCCAGGAGGTGCAGAGATACCTGGCAGAGGGCAATATTGCCAGGTCCCAGGATCCTATGAGATACTGGGACAACCAAAAGGCAATCTATCCAAACCTCTTCCGACTTGCCTTACAATTTCTCTGCACTCCAGCCTCATCTGTGCCGTGTGACACTCAGACAGGTGACACCCGCTGAGAAAACAACTCTGGTAATTGGAGACTCCATAGCCAGAAACGTGAAGCTAGAGACACCGGCGGCCATAGTCAAATGTTTTCCTGGGGCCAGAGCGGGCGACATTGAATCCTATTTGAAGCTGCTGACTAAGGATAAGCGTAAATACAGTAAGGTTGTTATTCACGTCGGTGCTAATGACTCCCGACTTCGCCAGTCGGAGGTCACTAAGATTAATGTTGAGTCGGTGTGTAACTTCGCTAAAACAATGTCGGACTCCGTAGTTTTCTCTGGACCCCTACCCAATGTGACCAGTGATGACATGTTTAGCCGCATGTCGTCATTCAACCGCTGGCTGTCTAGGTGGTGCCCAGAAAATAACGTGGGCTTCATAGATAACTGGAAAACATTTTGGGGAAAACCTGGTCTGATTAGTAGAGACGGCATCCATCCCACTTTGGGTGGTGCGGCTCTCTTATCTAGAAATCTGGACGAGTTTGTTTTACAACCTAAATTATGACAACCCTAAATTGTGCTGCTAACTACTGTATGTGCAATAATTTGAGATGCTACACTCAGTGTCAGTATTTTAGTACATCTATTATGAACTATTTATTGCTGTATGTTTGTATGTGGACATGGTTGTCATGAGAATGGACAGTTTGCTTTTTATATTTGCCCTGATCAGATGTGGCACATGTAATTTCATTGTACTTGTGTATAATGACAAAGCATTCATTCATTCATTCATATTCCTCTTACAGTAGAAAATAACAGGACAATCAAATATGGACTATTAACTATCAGATCTCTCTCGTCCAAATCACTGAACTCTCCAGCAGTTCTGAGTCTGAATCCAATGGATGCCACAGTACACTACCTCTCACCTGACAGGCTTTTCTTCTTCTTCTTCTTCTTCTTTTTCTTCTTCAGTTTGACGGTCAGGAAGTTCCTCCTGTCGTTTCTGTCCTGTCCTCCTGTCTTCTCTCTCCCTCCATCCTTCCTCACCTCTGCATACAGACAGGCAGGATGGAAAGGTAAAAACACACTGATGTTGGTTTCTGAACTGTGTCGGAAGCTTCTTATGTTATTCAACTATAAACCCTGGTTAAACCAGGCTACCGTCGCTGTCTGGCAGAGACCTTGTATATCCGTATTTTGTCTTTTTTCATAAATCAATGCTAGTGATCACCCTTTGCATCTGTCTGTGGGTTTTACAAACATCTCAATCTCAAAAACTCCACTGGATCCTGAAACTGTCACCAAAACCTCATTATGAGCTTGATTTAGGTAAACTGTTAATAATATAATGACACTTGCAGGTAAGTGACCATATATAAAGACATAATACCAACTTTGACAATGTGGTGTTGAATTGTTGTATCATTTCCTGTTTTATCACAGGGTTTTATCATTTCCTGAAAAGCAGCAGTTTTGGAGACACAAGGTTTCTACCCGACAGCAACGCTATGCTGAACTAAGTATGAGTGTGTATCTGTACAGGTGTAGCATCCTACCTGTTCCCACAGTGCTGTGCTCTCTGTTGCCACGGTGACAGGCGCTGTTCTCATTCTTCCTGTCTGGCAGGAAGTCGCCTCCCTCGGATGATGATCGCTTCCTCCTGCAACAGCCCCGGTCAGTGTTAAGCACAGCTTTCTGCAGAGCTCCTGTTCTGGGGTTTGAAATGTCAGCCTACCTCGGCGCCTCCTGCTCGCAACCGTGCTTGTCCAGCTGCTGGTCGGAGTGGTAGTACTTGATGTGGTAGTGCAGCAGGCTTGCCTTCCTGAAGGACTTGGTGCAGCCCGATGCAGGACACTTGAAGGGGTTGTGGTCCAACTCAATGGAGAGGATGGGAGGCGGCTGGTTCTTTATCACCCTGTACACTGAGAAAGCAACAGGGAAGGAAGTGAAAACCAATCTCTTACTTTCTTCTTGCTGATTTAAATCAACATTTTTAGTTTTCAGCCCCATTCAGACAAAGTTTACATGAATAGGAATAAAATATTCAGTATGGAAATTTAAGGACAAGGAGCTCTTCACATGGAAAAACTCTCGAGGCTCCAGGCAGATGTTATATGACAGGAGGAGCAGTGAGTTTAGAGAAAAACAACAGGTAACTGGGGCTGGTGGGATTAAAATCACTGATCAGCGCGGGTGATGCTAAAGTCGCCACCCCATTGACATAAACCCAGTGTGAGTGGGACTTTAGACTGAATTATATTAGGACAAAGTTGTGCAGGTGCTTTTGTTACACGTAAGAAGAAAACAAAATACACTTTATTTTTCTAAAAGTAGGATTAAAAAGTATAGTTTTGGTAATTTTAATAAACCCAACAACAGCAACCTGTTATAAACAGTCTGTGTAGATTTAATGTAAAGGAAGAACTCAGCTGTGACTGACGTTAGTGTGCACTTACATGGCTCTCTGCTGAACTTGTGTGTGGTGGGCAGGTGGGCCTGGCGCTCCAACAGGATGTCTGACAGACAGATATTAAACAACAGAGATGGCAGGTTGTTATAGAAGCACTATGAACTGCTAAAGAATAAACATGTGCAAGAGCTACGTATTTTAATCCTGTACTGGCCCAATTACAGGACAGGTTTTTGGTTTGTTGTCCTGCAAAACTTCACAGTGTCACTTTGCATTCAGCTCTGTCTCAGTCTGAAAACACGTGAAGGGTAAACTTCTAAACACAAAAACCTAACAACAGAGTGTCAACAGTATTTTGTTCCTGCTATATGTCCGTTTCTAGTAACTTGTAGGTTTTATCATTTCTCATGCGCTGTAATCTGTAACCAGGAGAAATAAAGACTGGAGTCTGATCTGCACACGGTCAGCCTGATCCTACACAGGCTCAGAATGTTTAGTGGTGGATTTGAAGCCTGATGTTCAGATGTACTTCCTATTAATGTGTCCACAGTCACAGCACAAGCAGCAGCCTCAGCCACCAGCTCAGCCACAGTTCAACATTCTGCACAGCCCCACCCTGTGCGGCATGTTCTGGGTGTTGTACTGTGATAACGCGAGGATGACTGTGGTGGTATCTTCCAGTGGAGACTGGTGAGTTTTTCACTCAGGGTGAGACATTTTTATCTGGTGTGGATGCATTTTTGCTTCATGCCATCCACACCAAATAAGCATCTGTTCGCATCTAATCACATCTTTGCACTGGCAGGATGTGCACTCACGCTGCCTCGGCTTCACCCTGAACACAGCTTTATAATCACAGCTGTCCTGTATTCAGGCCTGCAATTATGCAGCAGTATGTAAAATTCTCTGGTGTTTACTTCTGTCGATGTGGGCGAGGTTAGGAGGAGCAGGCTGGCTGGACTCAGCTGTGATTGGCTGGTTCTGAGCACCACTGTTTCTACCTGGAAGAGAAGAAGTTAATAAGTATTAACAACATTACCGGCGAGACAGTGTACATCTCACTTCCTTTAACTGTGTCCATGTTCCCCTCATGTTGCGTCTTAGCCCCTCACCCTGAAGATGTGAGACATCTGAAACATGGCGTGAAGCAACACCTGCTTCTGAACACATGGCTCGACATAAATATGCATTCTATATTTACGCCGTGCTTAGATAGGTCAAACCACTGTGTGCAATTCTTCTTCACTGCTCAGAGGATAAATGCTCATAAACCACTTCTAATGGCACCGGTGACTTTTTTAATTTTATCACTACTTCCTTCTGCTGTTATTAGAGGGGTCCAGAGTCAATCCTAAAGTTCAGCATTGAGGCTGATCCAGGTGTATTTTAACGGTTCTGTATCGGCTAAATAAAGCTTAGCCTGTCTTTACTGAACTTGACTGGGTTTGGTCACCTGCTCTCCTTAATGTCAGTCAGGCTGTCACTAATTAATGTTAAGTGTGTGAGAACCTGATGACATGACAAAATAAAACGTCTGTTGTCGGGTTAAACTGTCTCTGCAGTCAGTGTCTGTACTCAGTCAAAGATCATTCATGAGGTGAGAAGCTCCCCTCTGTGATGCCGCTGTACAACCGCAGTGGACCGAGTGTTTCCCCAACACAGACTGTGTGAACATAAGCACAGCGTCAGAAATAAAGGAACTCTAGACGATGCTGTGCTCTGACAGTTTGATGAATATCATGCATGCAGATCGTCTGATGAGGGTGGAGGGAAAAGGCTGTTGATGCATCTGAGAGGTGACCAACTAAAAACTACTACATAAGGAAAGATACTGGGTTTTTTATCTGACACATCCAGGGTTCACAAGTAAACCCCTTTACCATTACTTTAGGTGACGAGATCAGGTGACAGGGATCATGTAACCTACTGTCATCTGTTTTCTTCTTCGCTGGTTTATGGGGGGATGATGTTTCTGCCTTCCTCTCCTCCTCCCCCTCCAAAGCTCCTTCCTTCTCCTCTGATGTCACCTCCTCCACTTTCTCTTCCTTCTTCTCCTTCTGCTCTTCCTCTCTTTGTCCACCATCCTCCTCTTCCTCCTCGCTCTCCCCTTCCTCCCATCCTTCGCTTCCCACTGCACCTTTCTCAGATCTAGACCTCTGCTTGACATGCAAAAAAGAGGAAAAAACTATGGGAATGGAAGGATTTGTGCCTGGTGAAGCCACTGTAGTACTGAGCAGTATTCCTTACGTCCTGGAAGGGTTTGACCTTGGTGGGCTTCACAGTCCGAACCACGCCATCATAGAAACGCACTGTGTATGAGTCTGAAACACACATACAGCATTTGATCAAGTTTCAAAAACATACAGCTCAACAACAAAATGATGAACTGTAACTACTAACTAATCACTGCTAATCAGTTCAAGTACTTGTCCCCTTTGTCAGTGGCTCTGTGAACAAAGAGCACTAATGTACAGTGGCATGCAGACAGGTAAAAGATGCAGGGGTCGCTGATTAATCTGTCAGTTATTTTGATCTTTTTATTCACAGAATATTAAACACTGGGAAAAGGGCCCATACCGTCCTTGTTGACCCTGAGGATTTTGGCCGGGTAGAAACGACAGTCTGTCCAACAGGCCAGAACCTTAGTGCCTGAAACAAACATCTGAGACAGAGAGAAGGGGAAAAATGAATTCCACCACAGAGCGAACACTGACACTGCAGCACTTTTACCATCTCTTTATCCTGTCCAGCATGCGACCATGTCATGTGAAACAACACACCGGCTGTGAGCACGGCGGGTTCAGGCCCTGCCTCCTCAGACTGACTCGCTCCAGTGGCCGCAGGGACGGCGAGTTCCACTGAAACCACTCATTGTGTCGACGACTCCACTGATGGTAGTGGATCAGGATCCGCTCTTTGTCGTAGTCAATTTTTTCAATCGTAGCCTTGTACCTGACAGGGAAGCAACATAATGCAGGATGAGAATTCGCAAGTTCATACAAATGTAATGTAACTAAGACACAAAGAAATTCAAGTTTCAGCTTTCAGTGTTGCTGTGTAAGTCACTACAGAATTATCTTAATGACTCCCAGTCATTTTCTCTGTTATGTTGTGTGCATTTGTGTTCATGGTCCAGACCAGATCTTGTGGCGATCTCTTGCCTCCAGTTGTGCTCCAACCTCGAAAGTAATTCCTGACCTGTCCGGAGGAGTCTTCATCTGCAGAAACACGGACAAAAATACACCATTACAGTCTAGTCATAATTAATGTCCGGCAGCTTCATTAACAGAGACAACACATTATATCCTGGATATTCAACCCTCAGGATCACCCATCGAATAAACCTGCTGAATATTAGACATATTTTGTTCATTAAAAGGCATTCATGTCTCGTTTTGAACAAATCCTAAAGATATCTAGTTTGTCATCATGTAGACTATATAAAGAAAAGCAACAAATCCTCACTATGCTTGCCAGTGTTGCCCAAAAATTTTAAAAGACTATACTGATTGTTTGATTATCAAAATATTTGCAGAATTTTGCGGTGCACTAATCGATTAATCAACTAATTGCTGTGGATCTAATTTCAACTATTTCCAAAAAGAAGGTTTGTATATATCACGTTTGATTTAATTGTTCATGAATGTGTTGTCTGTGTGCAGATAAACTTTTCCTGTGTCCGGTTATTTTGGTGGCAGAAGGAGAAAAGGTTTATGTCCAGAGTGTGATGAGTCTGCAGTTTCATTATCACTGTGGCACTTCTATGCTTAGGATATCGTGGAAATTATCGAATATTAACGTAGAAAACTACTCACTGAGCAACAGACACTCAGGTGTTTTAAGTTCCTTAACATTTTTAAACGATATGAGACGTTGATGTCAGAGTTTACGTCTACTGAACGTGACGTCACGACACCACAGTGCGTCTCTAGCGTCTGTGTTGACGGTTGCAGACGACAAACTTTTTATTAGTATATTTCCGCAAATGCAGTTATAAGCAGTGCGTAGTTAGAGTCATGAGCGATTACACGTGTACTTTAAAGGGTCAAAACTCAAGCGGAATGAAGTCAGTGAAAGCAATTGTACTAAAGCGTTGACATGTCATGTCTGCTCTGTTAGCGTCCTTTGTAAGAAAAGCTGATTGGACTGCAATGAGTCGGGGACGCCTATTAAGACTTTTCATTGGGTGGCTCTGCTGTCATGTGACGAATGGTCCCACCTTCGGGATCCACACAGATATTTGACAGTAGCTAGCGTGCTAATGCTACGTGTTAGCTTCAAAGAGCAGCAAGCTGTGAAATAGCATTAGAATGAATCGCAAACAAATCTTGAAAATGACACGTTTGTAAAATACACATGCACTGGAAAGGAGACAAGCAAATGTTTAGAGTTGTTCATTAAGCTCGCCCAGTTGAGCGGAGTTGGGGCTTCTCTCCATTGACAGTGAGGAGATAAGCTAACGCAGCTAATTGTTAGCCTCCGCTGAGGTGAACTGGCTCAGTCTGAAAAGTCGCAGTGACAGCTGTAAGCAGACAAAAGTTTCCTGTCGTCCAATGAACTGTCATGGAAGTGTAAACCTTTAAAAACTGTCTACGCTGTTTAAATGTAATGAGTTAAACTGTAAATGAGAAACATAAAAGCTTGTTTACCTCTCGCGCTACTTGAGCACGGCACTCGTCATTCTGTTATGGCTACAGAGCGCATGCGTAAACGCTGTCGTTCAGCTGGTTTGTGGGACAAGTGAAGCACCGTGTTTGCTTCTGTGGCTTCAACACAGCTGAAAAGTCAAATCACTATAACCAGTAACACTGAGGAAAGAGTTTATGTATTATAATGAAACCCGATATTGAGTTTAAAAAAATATTAAATCACAGCTGAAATGATGGAAACAGTCCCCTGTGAGTGTTCAACTATTGAACTGTATTATAATTACTAAAGCGTATTACAGTAGGCCTTTATTGTACATTGAGGTAGAGGTAGTTTTTAACTATAGCTGTATAGGACTACAAATAGACTATTTATTCATCTACTGATTGTCTCACCTATGGTCATGAACTTTGGGTCATGACCGAAAGGGCAAGATCCCGGATACAGGCGGCCGAAATGAGCTTTCTCCGCAGGGTGGCCGGGCGCACCCTTAGAGATAGGGTGAGGAGCTCGGTCACCCGGGAGGAGCTCAGAGTAGAACCGCTGCTCCTCCACATCGAGAGGAGCCAGCTGAGGTGGCTCGGGCATCTCTTTCGGATGCCTACTGGGCGCCTTCCTAGGAAGGTGTTCCAGGCATGTCCCACCGGGAGGAGGCCCCGGGGAAGACCCAGGACACGCTGGAGGGACTATGTCTCTCGGCTGG